TTTCTAGTTTAGCGGGCCTGCGTGCCCATGCATGTTTTCCGTTCTCTTTTGTAATGAACTACGTTCGACTTGATCCCGTTTGGATACGTAGGCAGCTTGGATGCAATATAAATTCAAGTCCAGTCCAAACAATTAATAAATCCAAACATCGGGTATAACAGCCCCTTTAAGCCTTGCCCACAAGCAAGCCCCTTTAAGCCTTGTCTTTGACAAGCCAATATAAGCCTTGCCCACAAGCAAGCCCCTTTAAGCCTTGTCTTTGACAAGCCAATTTAAGCCTTGCCCACAAGCAAGCCCCTTTAAGCCTTGTCTTTAACAAGCCAATATAAGCCTTGCCCACAAGCAAGCCCCTTTAAGCCTTGTCTTTGACAAGCCAATATGGGCAAGGCCCCTTTAAGCCTTGTCTTTGACAAGCCAATATAAGCCTTGCCCTCGAGCAAGCCAATTTAAGCCTTGTCTTTGACAAGCCAATTTAAGCCTTGCCCTCGAGCAAGTCCCTCTAAGCCTTGTCCTCGAGCAAGCATGTAAGCCTCTCACAAGCACCAAAATCCTGGAGCTCATAATCAGCACAATAGTGCAGCACAAGTACAAATCCCGAGGACATACATCCCGACCATATATCCTTGTATTTTTATCAAAAGCTGAAAAATGAGAGCTCAGGAAGACTCATGTACAGAGGTCGGTCACAATTATTTGGGGACTACCATTCCTTGAACATTAATCCTCGAGTGTTAAGTGTGTAGAAAACTAAACTGTCCTCGGCATTATCACTTGTTTAAAAAATTGAGTTATTCTCAATCGTCGAGATGATTAAGTCGTCGAAAGTAATTAATCTTCTCTAGTCGTCGAGGTTACTTGTCCACGTGCTCGGGGTTCACACTTGGATGTTCCAAGATAATTTTATTATTTAGTCCTCGAAGTAACTTGGTTAATGCTCGGGTTCAACACTGATGTTCCCAGGTTGTTTTACAGTTTGAGTCCTCGGGATGAATGTGTACGTCATATTCAGAAGTATTTTTCACAAATTATGTCCTCGAGGTGTTCAACTACTATAGGCGTCGAGTTATTTAACCATCTTACGCCGGGCTATTTGAATGATCGAGATACCAATACACAGTAAAAGGAAAATACTTGATCGAGTAAAATACATGTTCAAATTACAAAAAGAAAGGGGTGTCATCATAAGAAAAAACATAAACTAATGTCAAACAAAAAAAAAAAACTACTAATCTAAGTCCTCGGCCCTTTCCCCCGAGGCTGTGCTTCCCTGCTCCTCCACCGCGTCCTCGCCGTCGACGTCGACCTCTTGGTCCTCGACGGTTTCCTCGGACTCTGACAGCTCGAGGGTATCAGCAATCTCGGGGATGTTCTTTAGATCCTCGGGGTTAGCATCGGGCTTCGATCTCAAAAATGCCCGAGCTTCCTTGAAGGCATGGAAGTACGAGCCCATGGCATACTCTC